GCCTTCCAACATCGCCATGCTTCACTAAGATGTTGCAGTATAGTCTTTGATTTATTGGCTTTAATGCCTTCAGGCATCATATCTAAGATATCGTGCATGACTGCTGCTCTAAGCTCAAGATCATAATGAGATTCCACCCGCTGTTTAGTGACCGTTTTGGCAATGCCTTTTGAGTGACGTCCCTCGAAATGACGTGCCAACAGATTACCGAGCCATCGTTCGAGTAGTGGCACTATGCCTCGCATAAAGAATAGCCAAACTCGCCATCCAGGAGCCCAAAATCCACACCCAGGGCCCTTTCCAACGACTCCGGTATTAAACCGATAGTAGATCAAGTGTTTTAAATCTATATGAAATTCGTAAATTGCCATTGATAAGTATGAATTTTGTCATCAAAATGCTCTAATAATCTGACGGAATATTGAATACTAACCTTTAGTCATACGAATCTGTCTCATCAATCGATATTTGTATCGATACATTCCCGTTAATTGACCAACGTGTGCAAAAATGTATTGCAACCCGTCAGCTAACTGGAACGCATCAACGTTTCCTAATCGATACTGAACATGTGAATCTACAATCAACTTGGTCAATCTTAATATCTCACGACACAAATGAAAAGCATTTCCAAATCTAGATTTTTTCCTCTCTTTTGTAGTCAACGTCTTCACAGGTTTCAGAGAAAAGTTCATGTCAAGATGAAGATAATTTAAATTCTTTCGATGAATCAACAAATTCAGCATATTGTAGCCTTGCCGACAAACTTGCAATCCAGCTTCAACCCAATCCAACTCCGTCGTTTGAAAGAATTTTGTTGCCTTCAGTTGTCGGAATAGATATTTCTTATTCAACGCTTTAGGCGGTCGATGTTTTAATGCGTTCAAGACGTAACATTTTAGCAGTTTTTGGTATGATACTCTGACTTTAACTGGGTGTCCGGGAGGACAGTGCTCCAAGTACCATGTCTTCACAAGCGGTACATCTTCTGCGCGTCGAGTTCTTCCGCTTCGTTTATTAAATGGATGAGGAGCCCACCAAAGTGATATACCGTCAGCTGTGGTATTGGTACTCAAAGGGACGTCTTCAAGGAACGAATGGACATTATCTGGTAGAGTAAATTCGTCTACGTCATTATCGCCAAAAATTTCGTCCTCGTGAGACGTTGTTATGTTTACAGGTTGAACAGTGCGTGATGAAATAGGATTTATAATTGGATCGAAGTAAAACGCTGGTAAATCGGGATCTTCGGCTCGAATGTAGACTACAGTTGGTTCGTGGTACCATGAAACGTGTACGGATCGCGGAAGGGAGTTGTATAAAAACGGAAACGCAATCTTATATTCCGTGCGTATTGGTTGACGTATAATTATTTTGTTGATATCATTGAATTCGTTCCAATCGTCGTCAGCAGTGTCCATATCTCTATATAAAGGTTCAAATTTGGGTCCTCCAGGAATAGCCATATTCAACGCCTTAGCCGTAAAAAAACTCTTCAAATCGAACAAATAGAAATAGTTCTTATCTGTTAAGTCTGTCAACAGCTGATGTGCCAGTCGATACAAAGTAGACATTATCGGAAGATCCAGTTTCCATCGTCTATAAGTAGGTCCATTTACATACTTTGTATCCAGCAATGGTTTATGATCATAAAACCAATCCATCACGGCAGCATCTTCTTCCTCGTTCAATTCCATCTGTATAGCCTCCAGAGGAGCAACGTCGAGAATGTTATCGCCATAATCAAGCGGCGGTTCCTCATCGTCAAATGGTGGAAACCGCATACGTTTAAAGTGCCGACGATCGCGTTTTTCCCTACGCATCATAATCCACATAGTACCCCACTGAGCAATGTAGACTGGTTCGATTACCCAGGGTATTTCATTTACAAATGTTATTGCACCAGTTATATGATATAATACTGGAACTTCCCGAACTTGTTCCCAAGGCATCGGCATGTTCTCGAGTAATTTGAGAACGGCATGAGGTACATATTTTAGCGCACCGAGATATATGCGTTTGTCATGTCTATATTTTTTACTTGACATATCACCATGATCTTTAATAATCTTTCTAATATGTTCTGGTGGCATATTAGCCTTTTCATGTTCGACAAATCCAAATTTTCGTTTCTCTCCATATCGCTTAGATTGCATCTGCTGCCATTTTCGTGCTTTTTCTTCTAACTTCTCCGGTGTGGCTTCTGTTGGTGCAGGTGCACCACGATTAAAGTGATTCTGTGGTGGGTTGAACTGAGTAGGATTAAACTGATAGTATTGGTAAGCGAAGGGAGTTTGTTGTTGCGGTTGTTGCGGCTGCTGTGATTGATCCTGTTGTGATGATGGCGGCGGTGGCAGTTGTTGTTGCAGCTCTTGTTGCTGCTGCTGTTGCTGATCTGCGTACATGGTGGACGTAATAGTGTAGATCGTTGAGACCAGCACAACAATTTTTTTATAGTTTGACCGCCACATTTATAATAGCCTCACATCAATTGGTTGGCTGTAGTCCATGCAGGTCAGATGACATTTATGTTACACAATATACTGCCACTCTTCTTGTCAATGGAGAGAAATCTATAGTACTAGATAATGCTGCTAGAGACAGAGTGATCCACGTTCACCGGGTTTGATAGGGAACAAGTGACAAGAAATTACGGATGTCGAATTTCGTATCGCCTTGAATATTCAAGCGAAGCTCACGTCAGCAACCATCCGTATTTCCAACAATATTTAACGATCCAGATTGCACTCGGCCCCCTTACTCATCTCCAAGCCTTTGCGCAATGCGGTCATTTAGCTGACAATCATAGTCGCAGTTGGTATTTTTTTTTTTTTTGCAAGTGGATGCAGCTATTTCTTATGCACATTGCCAATATTAATATGTGCTACTATATAATTCTATCGAATACTACAGTCAAGAAGAAACTGAAAGGCGATCCGCATTGATGACTTCACATGATCTGTTCGACGATGCCGAAAGAATTTGCTAGTTTTCTGTCATCTGAATATTTATCTCCAACTCGGTCAACTCGGACTGAGTATTGGCGTTGCATGATCTGGTCAGACTAATGCTGTTTGCATTGCTACATGTATTCGACTTTCACGCTGTATTCGGCGCTGGGACGATAATTTATGAGATTGTGTGCTAAGGAGCTTTTGGATGGTGTTATGTTAGACTATTGATTTGATAAGTGACACGCTTTTCGCGAAGAAAGCAGTATATATAAAGTCAATTGTGCGGAATTCAACAAATTTCGTGGAGCATGACAGGTCGGCGTCAGTTTTGCATGTTGTGAAAAGGGTTCTTGTTGTCAAATTGGATCTGTTCCGTGAGTGCGCTACATAGTAATAGCGATGATTGAAGAGGCGCAGAGACGAAACTGTACTGATGGATGAAATAATGTAAGTTAATCATTAAGCTTTTGCAAGATGATATCAACAAGGCCAACGTATTGACAATAATTCCAGTATTTCGTCAGCAGTGAAGACGATGATCCAATGTATGATCGAAAGGGAACGAATACGGCAATGAGAAAGTGTAGAAAGCAACGGAGTAATGATGACGTTAAGAGCGAGAATGGAGAAAGTTGAGGAAGAGAACAGAGGTGAAAAGTTATTGATTCAAAATGGTGATAAGTGAGAAAGGGATGGGGTGGGTTGAAATGAGAATACTTTATATCTGTTCATTCGAGCAAAGCAGACTCTGTGTCGCGCTTTGAGTTACAAATGAACACATGACAATGTTGCAATAATTGGATCGAATGTCTTTCCGCGAGCTTTGGCGGAGGGACCCCAGATAGTAGATATCCTTTTAATTATATCAGTCATTCCTTTCGTGATGTGGCAAATTCCCAGTTTATATGCGGTCGATAATGTTTGGACGTTTGTGTGCAAAGAAGGCAAGACAGAACATAAGCAACATATAAAAGACATTTCTTTCGCAATGCCAATCATGAAAAGGATACAACCATACCAAACATAATAAACAAAAATTGGTCAGGAGGGCGAATTGTCTATTATATAACTGTTCTCTCATTACATGCTTGAGGTTTGATGCATTGTTATGTCCGTTTTAATCGTTATAGATACATTGCTAGGCCAAAATCGTATTTCCCCACCGAAGGTTGCATCCTAGTTTGTTCAAAACTATTAACAATCCTATTTGCACAATTCGCTCTTGACAAATGGTGTGAAATGAATTTGGTAGTTTCCCAGTACAAATGGCTCTCGATATGAGAACTCTTTGATATAAGACATATGATCTATGAATCCTTAATTCACCCGTCCGTTATACTGTACCTGTGAACGGAAAAGCTATGCACAATATTCTCGAAATTCGGTACCTGCAAAAGTATGTTATCCGTTAATATTAGGATGTAGCCGTATCCTACAATCCATTTTTTCATCAAATTTTTATTTTCAAATTGTCAGTTATGTTGTATATTAAGTCGTCATTGCAACGGGAATTTGTTCTGGCATTGTTTGCATACTCCAGATCTCGAAACGCACAAAAAGTTGAGTTACTGTCTAACGCCAATGATTGGTTCATTTTTTTTTTATAATTTAGAACTTTGTACTTCGGTAGTAGAGGCACTTATTTAATTGTATCACATAACACAAAGCAATAATATAAACATTAGTATTAGCGTTTCAGAAAATTACTTGATATTGAGAATCAGACTGACAAAAGCTTTTCAGTAGCATGGACCACGAGTATCCGCCGGCAAAGAACTGGGTAAATTTCGGTTATACATTCGATAAGCTCACTTCCAAGATAATTTCTATAGTAAAAATAAAACACAACTCACTTTTATTTAATATTAATAGGAGATTGGGCAACAATCATCTTCAGGTACCAAAAACAAAGGGAAGGAAAAGCAGCATGAAGTAGAAGATGCAGAAATTGAAGAAGCTGCTGAAATAGACCTCATTAGTTTTGAAAGTGACAGTGAGAGTGACAACTCTGAAGATGCATATGCCCTAAACCTGAGCAGCATTGAATTAAATGAGCAATTAGAAACCAACTTGGAATCAATTGTCAAGAACAAAGACAGAACAAGTCATCTCATTAAATTGCACAATTTGTTACTATCCTTTAGCACTTTATTAGATGATAATCAAGTAGGGAATGCCTTGAAGATCATAGCAAGTGAGATTGAATATGACCACTATACAATCACTACTGGTATGGAATTGGAATTGCATTTGAGAATATTTGCATTACTTTTAGAAATTTATGGCAGGCGACCTCTTAAAATGGCAAGGAAATTATATGAAACTCTGCATGAGAATCTTGGACAACTACATAATATTCACCAGTCTTGTATCAATGCATTAGAAAAAGGTTTAAACACTGCATGTGACTTGTCAGATAATTTAAAGGAAGATGTCTTAAAAGTTCAAAATTACAACATCAATTTTTTACTTATGCATCTTTATAATACTCTTCATATGAATGATGATGACAAAACTATCTGGCTTGAAATTATAGATCAGTTAAAGGCTTTGTTTTCTGTACTTGTCAAGGCTTTACCAAGTATGAGTGGTATTATGACAACAGCAGAAACTCCAATTGATGACAAGGCTACTATTGAAGTTTATAACAAGATTCACAAGATCTTAGAGTCAAAGTTTTCCATGGGACATTGGTACAAGGAATGGAGATATTTGTACACCATATATCAAGCATTTGTTGAATGGTCAGCTGTTCCAATTCACAAGAATCTAGTTGCTAAAGGAGAATTGATGCTTATTAAAGATCTCTGGAGATTTGGAGACCAAGAATGGCATAGAACAATTTCAGCACAATCAGAAATAACTGGATATAAGTCTAATCTAAAAATTATGTCAAATTATACCTCAGTGTCAGTTCCATACTCTTTATTGTTTGGCATACTGGATATTGCTCAAAATCTTATAATCTCTACAAAAAATACCAGTACCTTGGCTCATTGTTACTATCTTGCAAAACTATCTCTGGACATAGTTAGAGTAAATTTTATTCAATTTAAAGCAATGGAAGTTCTGGCCACACTTTACAGAAAAGATTCAATTACTTTTTCTGTTGTGCAACTTGATCTAGATCAACATGCTGAAAGTTTTTCAGCTTCAGACAAAGATGAAAAACAGTTTCAAAGCATGAGAGAATACATTGATAAGAAATATGCATATATTAATCAGGCAGGCAACAGAGCAAATTTTGAAATGTCAGTCTCAAGACAAAAATCAAAAAAAGCAGATGTAGACCATACTAATACACCTAAAGAGCTTCTTGATTCAAATCCAAATGATTTGTTAATTTTAGATATGGTTGCAGATCATCTTACATGTCCATTTACACAAGAAGTTACAGATGATTTTAGAATACTTCCATGTAAGCACAAAATCAGTTATCTGGCATTGGCAACTTTTATGAAAATGAACTGCCTTGAATTGAAATGCTTTTACTGTAGAAGAAAATGTCAATTATCTGAAACTGAAAAGTTGCCAAGCTCACCAATTTACAAAGCATTATATGAAAAATTTGTCAAGGCTGGACATATTACACCAAAAGACAAAGCAAAAGATTTTGCAACTATTGTGACATGTCAGGATGATGAAGAAGAAGATGTTGAGGAAACTTCTATTATAAAATCCAAGTTTTTATATTTACTTAAAATGAAACCAAAGAAAAGTATTTTGCAAAAAATGAGGAGACCAAAAAATTTGCATCCTGCATACAAGCAAGGCAAGAAAGCTCTTGAAGACAAAAGATATAAAGATGCAATACTGTGGCTTGAAAGAGCACTTGTTCATTATTCCAATAGTGCTACTATTCAAATTGACCTTGCTGCTGCATATTTGGGTAATTTGAACTATCAAAAGTGTTATGATTACATAACACAAGCTATTAAAAATAATCCTAACAATGCCAGAGCATGGGCTTGGCGTGGAAAATATTACATGCAACAATCAGAGTACAAACAAGCTCTTAAAGATCTAAAACAATCATTGAAGATTGATGCAAGGTATTCACTTGCATTAGAAGTTAGGGGCAACATTTACTACATTCTTAAACAGTATAAGATGGCATTGAATGACTTCAACCAACTATTAGAAATTGAACCAAAGAATAAAAATGCATTAGGATTAAGAGGAAAACTTTATTCTATACTGAATGAGTCTAACAAAGCATTAAGAGATTTTGACAAATTATTAGAGATTGAACCAAATGATGCC